ATGATACATTATTTTATCAACAAGAAGTTTAGCATTCGTTTATTTTCCTTGGACCCTACTTTCATTTCATGGTCATCTAAGTTGTAATACATGAGATTTGGAGGACTAAATGACCTAATAATTAATTAGTTCATATATTGTTAATAGTGGTACTTGCATACAGTGGCGTACACGAAAGAAAATTATATATATAATTTTGCTGTTTCAAAATTAAGTTCATTCAATTAAATATACCAAAAAAAATTAGATTACATGTCTGTTGCACTACAGTACGACTAACTGAAACTGTCTACTGGTAAATGGTTGGTCCGTTTGCTTTGTTTAGATTGTGAAATGTTGAAGACTCGCAGGAAAAAAAATGTTGAAGACTGAAAATGTAATGAAAACAGTCCATTTGTTTGTGGTAAAGTCAAAAGTGTGAAAAAATATCGTGATGAATTTTTTTTTTTTTTTTTTTTTTTTAAAGTAGGAAAGAATATAATATTTTGGAAAAGTGAAAAAATATCATATTTTGTGGGATAGTGATAAATTGATAAATATATTATATATATTTATAATTGTGTAATGATTATATATATATATTTTTTTGTAAAACGGTGAATGGGCTTTTGGTTATATATATATATAGTATCTGTACGTGTGTATTGTCAAATTTTTGAGAGGCAATTATACAAATATAAAAATCTTCCATATAAAATTTAAAAAAAAAAAATAAGTTTAAAGGAATTTATTATCTTTGGACCGTACTTTCGTTTCATGGTCATCTAAGTTGTAATACATGAGATTTGGAGGACTAAATGACCTAATAATTAGTTCATATATTATTAATAGTAGTACTTATGCGTAGCCAGAAATTTCCTTTCGTGCAGGTAATCTTTAATATATATATAATTTTGCTATTTCAAAATTAAGTTCATTCAATTAAATATACTAAAAAAAAAATTAGATTACATGTCTGACTGAGACTGTCCACTGGTAAATGGTTGGTCCGTTTGCTTGTTTGAATTGTGAAATGTTGAAGACTCGCAAAAAATATAAAAAATAAAAAAATTTGTTAAAGACTGAAAATGTGATGAAAACAATCTATTTATTTGTGGTAAAGTCAAAAGTGTGAAAGAATATCTTGATGAAATGTTTTTTTTTTTTTTTAAAAGTAGAATATAATATTTTGTGAAAGTAAAAAAATATCATATTTTGTGGGATAGTGATAAATTGATAGATATATTATATATATTTATAATTGTGTCATGATTTTATATATATATATATATATTTTGTGTAAAACCGTGCATGGGCTTTTGGTTATATATATATAGTATATATGTGTATTGTCAAATTTTTTAGAGGCAATTATACAAATATAAAAATCTTTCCTTATAAAATTAAATAAAAAAAAGTTAAGTTGCTCCTACTTGTCCCTATGCGGCTACGCCACTGCTTGCATATATATCTATGGGTAAAGTGTATAAAACACTCTTAATATATGTATGCTTTTTGTAGTACTAGTAGTCGGACTCATTTGACTAAATTTCTGTGAATGGGGGAGATGACATCATGAGACATTATTATATTTAATGATAAATTTCTGTGAATGGGGGAGATGACATCATGAGACATTATTATATTTAATAATATCATCCCCTCTCACATAAATCAGTAGAATGTATTCAACTTTCAAACTACTTGTCATTATTCCATACAAAATTAGGATCTCACTCTTGATTGTTAGCGTGAAATGATAACAGTCAATTTTTACTTTTATTATTAGCGTGATACAATGTTTTTCACTAAATGCACTAACATATATAAGAAAAAGACGATATTAGTTTGTATGCAACAATTATTTTAGTTAATTTGATTTATAAGCTCTTAATAGCTTGTGTACGATAAAAACTTTAGTTCCTTTTATAATTATAAAAAAGAAAAAAAATAGTCCCAATTAAATTTTAATATAGTTATCAAATTTCATTAAATATATAATTAAATAATTAAATTAAAGATATTTATTCATTATATATAAACAATATACATTTAATTTTTTTAAACTTTAAAAACTTTAAAATTTTTAATAAATTTTCACAAATATATATATATATATATATATTCTTTACATAGCAACAAATGGGTATTCAATTTTTATTTGAAAAAAAAAGTGTGTTCAATCACCTACCGTCGTCATACTATTCAAATCGCGATAAAACTACGTTCTCAATTAAATCTAACCGTTAATATCAAACGATATTCAAAACAACAATAGTTTATAAAGTGCAGAAAACATCCATATAATAATGCTTATAGTGTATATCCCATGGTCCTACCCTCATGTTAAATGACTATTTCTGTCATTTCATAAAATGATGCATTTTTAAATAATATGTAAAATGTATATATAAGGACAATTTAATCAAACAATACCTTAAATATTTTATAATTTTTTTACACAAAAAATTTTGCACTGTAAATATACTATACAAAAAGATTTCTCTCTATTCTGTCCAATTGACAATTGGATAAATATGACTTCTTTCTCCAACTCAACAGATGCCCCCACTGACACATACGTGAGAAAGATCTCATGGAGAAAAGAGGAGAATCAAATGCCAAGATTGATCACATACAAGTAAAAACTTTCCGTCATTCATTCTAAACTAACATACAACGTTTTATTCTTTTCACTCACTGGCTGTTCAAATTTTCTCGCATTCACTTTTGCATCTTCTAACTCAATTGTTATTCTTGCGTATATATAGCCATCCTCCCCACATCAGCACAAATTCTCTGGAATCCTTTTCAGTCTACCCATTTTTACAAATTCTTTTATATTCTACCATTCATCACTTCTCTATTAAACAATCATACTTATTATTTTTGGTAACCGTGTGGAAAGTTGCTTTGGACAGGAATTGTGGATTAGTCGGGTAAAACCACAGACACTCCTGTTATTAAAAAAAATATATATGTATGTATCATATTCATATCTATATCTATATTTATCTATACTATGCTATACTATTATTAAAAGTACAATCAATTGGTGTAGGTGTTTCAAATCATTTATAATTAAAATAATTTACTAATTAAAATAATTCATATTATACTCAGAATTCTTTAAGTTTAAAACGACTAAAAACAAGTTACCAATTAAAATAAAATATTTTTTAACATATTTATTTTTAAAAAGAGTTTTTATTTTGATTTTTTATTATATAAAAAAGAGTTATTATTATTATTTTTAAAATTATTGCATTATGTAATTTATTATTATTATTATTTGTTTCTATAAGGAGTTTTTACGTATATCTCAATAATTTACCTTTTTAAAAGAGTTGTCTTATGTAATTTGGAGTTATTATTATTCTTGTTAAAAAAAAGTCTAACTTTTTTAAAAGTCCCAAACAGCTGCAAATCTAAGAAAAGTGGAGAAGAATAAAAATGTTTGATCACTTTATTCACTAAATATGTTTTAAACTCTTTTATAGTAATTTATTCTAATTCTTTACCTTTTTTTCCCAATTCTAATCATTTTTGGACTAATAGAAACGTAATTCTTATTAAAATAATTATTTATTCTAATTCTAATTTTTTATTTTCGATCCCCCAGATTCTAATTCTCTTTGGATTTTTAGCGTATTTTTATTTACTTTTATAATACATTTTAAACTTATGTTTTGATTGTATTGTATTTCTAACCATTCCCTAAATAGTTCTTAACTCTTCAAAAACCAGTTTACTATTTTAATTCTCTCTCAAGCTTCATATAATGCATTTTAATATATTATTACTAATTTATACTAGTACTTTACTTCTTCTTCTTCTTTTTCTTTTTTTTTCAATCCTAATATGTTTGGACTTTTAGAAACATAATTCTTCCTAAAATAATAAATTTTCTAATTGTTTACTTTTTCCCACACACACACATATATTGTACATATTGCTAAATTATAGTTGATTGATTATTATGTTTCATACCCCTATGTTATAGATTTTGTTTTTTATTTTTTAGATTTTGTTCCATTCCTATGTAATATGCTATTATAAATTTTTGTTAAATGTTACCATGAAGAATGCAAAATTATTTCTATAAGGATTTTCAATTAAAATGTTCAGTTCAATGCAAAATTATTTGTGTGAATATTTTAATTAAGACCATAAGTTCCTTTAATTTTTTTACTAACATCTTCTAAAATTTCTATATCAACCATTCACGTACAATATTTTTCTTTATTATTTTTGTTTTTAATTCTTTGTAATTTTTATTTTATGATTATATAAATATTTTGTTCACGTTCGTGTGTTTTTTACTAATTTTACTCAGTGTGCTTTAAACAATTACTATATTGGCATCATCAATTCATTTTAGGTCTAGAAACAAGTCCATGGAATAAAAAACTAAATTTGGTCCAGCGCTGAAAAGAGAAGAGAATTGAGCTGGTTGTAGTAATGCCATATAAGTGATATGATCTACTAAAATAAAAATGTTTTAATTATATGACATGATAGATTTAATTAATAACACATATAATGAAGTTTTGCTCGAACTCAGATCAACCAGAACCAACGACAATCGATGGGCTTAAGCCTTGAATCGATTCTACATACTAGGACAAATAATAAATATGTAAGTGATTCGGCCTATGGCACAAACTCATAATTTTGGGCTAGCGTTGGCCCAACCCAATCCATAGAAGAAGAAGACGTTTTTTGTGATTATTGTGACATGCAGTGTATAGATTCAGAAAGATTCCGATACCAAAACCCAAGTTCCAAGACAAAAGTGGGCCCATGGCCACTGCCGCAAGCATTGAATGCTGCCCATCTAACTCAGCTCTCTATAGACAATACCCATGACCAACGGTCATTTTTTCATCACTTCAACCCGAAGATGCGCTCTCACTCCCCGGCGCAATTTAGAATCCCGACAACATTTAACCTGTCGCTCGCAATTAAAACGTAACCCACGTGAAGGACGACACACACCACCCCATACACAAACAGACAAACTTATGCTATCTTACGCACTCTCTGCCACAAGAAAATCACATTCATCCTTCACATTCACACCTACACTTCTAGTATACTCCATTCATAGTAACTCTGTTACACATCAAAATCGTACGTCACTATATATATATATATATATATATATATATGAATGTGTGTGTATATAACTCTCTCTATTTATAGTTGTGAATCACAGAATATATAGCTATGGTGTCGTTTTCAGTCGGAATAGTTGGTGAGGATTCTTCAGTTACTCGTTCAAATGGCTCATAAATTCGTTGTTGAATGGAATGTGTGTTGAGAAACCCTAACTTTTATGTTATTTTTTTTTGTCCATAAAAGGTACTCGTGAATTTATTGCTTCTGATTTTGGTTGTCTGTGAAATCCTTTAGGGCTTCTGTGATAAAAATGTGGCTCCCTTTGTTGGTTGTTGAGGCTTAAAGCTCGTTTACGCTAGGGTTTTGTGATGAGGTTTTTAATAGTGAAGTGGTTTTAGCCGTGGACGCTTCAGTACAAGAACATGTTCGGGTTTTCTCGCAGGCGAATGAAGCTTGGAAGGTGAGCTAATGCATATGCACACGCACACACATTCAGTTAGTTTTATATCAAATTGACTCGTGTAAGGTCATCTCTAATAAATCTTGGAGCTATGTTGATTAATGCGGGTAATTTTGGCTACTTTTAGAGCATTTTGATTGATAGATTGTATAATTTTATTGTGCAATCGTTCTTTATTGTCCTGATTGAAAACAATATTTTGCTTCATAGATGTGAATACTGATATTAAGACTAGAGAATTGATTGTAATTTGTATAGTTTATAAGTCTCCTAATCAATTCTAATGTTTGGATCACTAATTATTTGAACTTAATGTGTTAGTTCTAAACTAGAATTCTAATAATGAGATGTTAGTGGATAAGGTGGTGGAGATCAAGATGGGAGGTCAAAAGAAACAACTGGCTGGTGCTTATAGCGGTGGCGGTGTCTGAAACTCATCAAATGCGGATTGGCTTAATTATGGTGGACAGACCGTGGTGGAGGCGGTATTATTGTGCTGGTGGTAGTAGCATCAGCAACAGAGTGGATGGCAGTGATGTGGATATGGTATTTGTCTTGAGTGGATGTGGTGGTGATGTGGATATGGTCTTTGTGCTTAACCACAAATACAAGATATTTATGTGGCTTAACATTAAGGCTTACATCCAACAGCAGTTCAACTAGAAGTAGGTTACTAAAGATGGGAAAAACTGCAAAAAGAAGTGTTGAGTAACTAGAAGTAAGTTACTCAACACCTCCACATTGTCTCTATGAATCCAAGATCACCATGAAAGCACCCCCAAGAAGCTTGGATTAGATTCTTGCAAAAGATGATGAAGAGTAACTGTTTGTAGAGTGAGTTTGACTCCTTGGTTCAGAGGAAACACCTTTTCTTGTCTAGTTGTCTTGGAAACAGTACAGCTTGACAAATCCTCAAAATAAACCCGATATAAGAAATGCCCAATTAAATGGGTCACAAAAATGGTCTTAAAAGTCACATTTTTGCATTTTAAGTTAAAAATGCATTAATGCCCATTCATAAAGAAGAGATGTGAACTAAAAAAAAAACAGGAATATGAAGGGTGAATTATAGCAAAATGAAACAATTTTCACCTCAATAAAAACCACCACTTTCTTTCCCAAAACCACCAAGTCACCAATTGACCTTGCATGTTTCCTAAATGAGTTAAGTTCTAATTTCTTTATGTGACCACGTTATTAGAAATCGTTTAAGTTCTTTCTTCTTCCAACCTTTTAATACATGCACTTTATCATCTATAACAACAACATGCTCATAATGATATTAGACTGCCATATGTTTCGTTCTTGTACAGTAAGACTAATTATTGGCCAAGTATAAACTATTCACGTCATCACAAGACAATTTTGTGAATTCAAAATTCAAATTAAGCATCAAACCTTGAAGCCGCATTGCATCCTTGCAACTTTTTGTCAATACTATATGCTCATAATGATATTAGACTGCCATATGTTTCGTTCTTGTACAGTAAAACTAATTATTGGCCAAGTATAAACTATTCACATCATCACAAGACAATTTTGTGAATTCAAAATTCAAATTAAGCATCAAACCTTGAAGCCGCGTTGCATCCTTGCAACTTTTGGTCAATACTATATACTCATTTTGGAAGTGGATAATGTAATCATTAGTTCCATTCTTAACTTCCAATTAATTGGATACTCCCAAGTCCCATGTGCATTACCTGTAGCAGTTCTTCTTTGACCAATTATCGGTTGACATGTTTGTCAGTTTCTTGTCCTTAGCATGTAAGGCCTTATTTTTACTTATTTTGGGCCAAGATATCTTGGAATTGAATTTTCGGGTAAAGTTCAATTTCCAAGCCCAGAGTAAAATTCTATACATAACACTTGGATTTAGAGTCCCATTTCCAATTCCCACCAAGACCAGAACTCATCCCTTAAACAGAATGCTTAGAGTTTGTCCTGGAGTTATTTATGGATTATGTATATATGACACTACAGATTACTATGCTTGATGTGAAATATTTATGTTGCATGAAATTTTTGATGAGTACAAGAATATGTATGAGATATAGATCTGGAATAGATTTTACATAGCTTCACTTAATTGCTCTATAATTGTTCATTGCTTATATTCTGCTTTGTCCTTTTCCCGTTCATGCTTATATTCTGTTTTGTCATTTCCGGTTTCCAGTTTTGTTAATGCTCATTTGTTGTAGTCTGTGCTTTCTATTAAAAACATATAATAATATTTGTGGAATTTCTGATCTTGTTGCAGATGTAATATGTTTGGTCTGCTTAAGATGTACTCGTTGCTTGCAGTTCCAATTCTTTAGCTTTGGATAAAAATACTTTAGCCTTTGAAAACTAGAAGCTGCTTTACTATGTGTTTATCTCCTAATATTATCACTCATCTTGCTCAGATTGAAGGTTCAGCTTTCAGACTCTGCTCAGGGAACTAGAAGTCCTATAAGACACCCGAAACGCAATAGTAATTCCAATGTAAGGATTTCAACTCATTTGCATATGTGGCGTAGCTTCATTAAATGTGTGGACTAAGCTATTCAAGTATTACAGGGTGAAGGTGTTGCACCTGCAACTAATAAATCCGATGAACTCAATTGCCAATATTCATCTGCTGCACCGGAGCTTAATAACTGCACTTCAGGGAACTCTGAGAATTGGATGGTGCTGTCAATTGCCGGGGACAAGCCCACTCCTCGCTTCAATGTAGAACATTCTTCATTGTTATTTTTTTTCCTCTGCGTAATGCAATGTTGAAATTAAGACACAAGATTTTAATCTCAAATTTGAAATTTCAACTTTTTCCCAAATAGCATGCAGCAGCTGTAATTGGGAACAAGATGATCGTTGTTGGTGGTGAATCTGGGAATGGATTGTTAGAAGATGTGCAGGTTCGAAAATGTTACCTCTTTCACTGACTGTAGATTATAGTTTGTTCTTGAGGGAAATTAGTCAGTAAAATTTCTGCTGCTTAAATATGCATTCGATGTGGTAGTATTGGGAGGTCATTCTTTTACAAAAGATGATCCCCAATCAACAAGTCTTTCAACAAATAGAACAGTTTAAATTCATCTGTCAGATGCTGTAGCTGCTGTAATTTATTTATCTTTTCAGGTGCTTAACTTTGACAGATTTTCCTGGACCACAGCTTCATCAAAGCTTTACCTTTCACCAACCAGCCTGCCACTGAAGATCCCAGCATGCAAGGGTCATTGCCTGGTATGATTATCCATCTTAACAATAATGATCCAACATTATGTTCTTTCAGCATTGCAGGATTGCAGTCTGAAGTGTAATCGGAATCAGAGGTCTTTAATCCAACTTTAGCTGACTTAAGATAGCTACAGACTCTAGTTATGATAGTAAGTTGTTAGACCTGGGACTGGTATGTGTCTTGTATTCCAAGTAAAAGAATTATTGAAACACAAATAGGATCAATATAGAAGCTAGATGCAAGCAGTTTGGTTTGATAAATGGCATTATGAGAGTGACAACAGAAAATATTAAATCGGCAGTCGTCACATCCTGGGCATGCACCAATTGAAACTTATCCATCATTCAGAACCCAATGCATTAGCCACCACAGAGAGGAGAAGAAAAAAATCCTATAATAATATATAGAGGAGAGAAAAAATTCAATTTAATATCTTCCAACCTATCAATCCAGGTTAAATGTAAGCATATAATAATTGTTGGATCAAAAGTTAAGATTAGATAGGATATTATTTCCACTGCCATGTGATGGGCACAAAACATTGGAGTTAGCCCCCTGCTTAAGTTTTTGCTTGCTTGTTACTTTTCAGAAGAAAAAGAGAGAAAACGTTATGTTTGTTGTGTGTGCATACTAGATTTCTTGGGGGAAGAAGGTGCTCCTGATTGGAGGGAAAACTGACCCAGCAAATGACAGAGTTTCAGGTTGCGGTTCCTTTCCTCTTCCATTTTTTGGATGTTCTTTATGTACTTTATTTGCTTTCTTTCTGTACTTTATTTGCTCTTTTACATGATGTGACATTTTCCCACTTGGTTTTTATAGTGTGGGCATTTGACACAGAAACAGAGTGCTGGTCGCTTATTGAAGCAAAGGGAGACATTCCGGTACTATTTCTGACTTAACAAGGATTTGAGCAAGTTGTTGACATTAGGCTCCTGTTGTATAAATTTGGAGAAATATGCACTCAAATGGACATGGAAAATTTAGTTTAGACTTACAATAGAGATACTTATTGTTATTTCTTGGTTTAGATTTTCATCTTGGTTTAGATTTTCTAAGAGGAACCAATGGACTAGGATCACACAGGTTTACAGTTTCTCTTGGTTAGAAAGGTGTCAAAATTCATAGGACTGCTTGATTTAGTATGTTGGTCATTATCCTAATTCTCTCTGTGCTGCACCAAGAATTTTTCACTTACATGCACACCAAAATTACATAGCCACATTGAATTTGTACTTTGTTTGCTGAAACTGTTCTTAATACATTGATATAAAGAATTTTGTGTCATTCCTCTGTTTTCTCTTTTCAAAATCCTATTATTAGGCTATATAATTATGGCACTGGATCCTATATTAACTGCCTTTATATGCTGATGGAACTTTATTAGATATAAATGAACCTGCTAATTGAAATTGACATGCATTGCAGGTCGCTCGCAGTGGTCACACTATAGTTAAGGCAAGCTCTGTTTTGATCCTTTTTGGAGGTGAAGATGCTAAAAGGAGAAAACTGAATGATCTACATATGTTTGATCTAAAATCCTTGACTTGGCTCCCTCTTCATTGCACGTGAGTGGGTCTTGCCATTCTAAAACCTATAAATAATTTTTAATTTACTGGTGGACATTTTTAGATATTATTTCTTTATTACGTAATGTATCCCTATTATTGACTGGGTTTTGTGTGTCTGTGTGCACTGTATGTGTACAGAGGACCCGGACCATCTCCAAGGTCTAATCATGTGGCAGCTCTTTATGACGATAAAATGCTTCTAATTTTTGGTGGAGCATCAAAGTCTAGGACTTTGAATGACTTGTACTCACTTGACTTTGAGACGGTATGTTGAACTTCCTTAATAGATCCAAAAGTACAGTTTTAGCTACAACATTCTGATATGTGGATGTGAATCTTTTTCTTCAGATGATATGGTCAAGAATTAAAAAACGAGGACGAGCTTTCCATCCATCCCCTAGATCTGGTTGTTGTGGAGTTCTGTGTGGAACTAAATGGTATATTGCTGGAGGTGGTAGCAGGAAAAAACGTATGTCTTAGTGGCTTAAAAGCATATGCTTCAACTTCTAGAATATGTTCCTTTCATGTTGCAACTCTAAATGAGAAGGATGTGCATGAAAAAACTTGTTTTTACTCGTGCTGCAACTCTGGAATTGAACATTTAGTCACTAATTTCCACTTCTTGTTTTCAATTAACAATTTAGTTTGTTGATGCTCTTTTTAGAGTAAATCCTTGTTCTCAACTGTAACCTTGTTTGTTATATGGGTCGTCGTTGAGACTTTGAGTTTGTGCATATCTTTGAATGGTTCAGGAAGGTCAAGCATGACATCGATTAGTAGAGCATTTAAATCTGGCATGGTTTTATTGTCATAAAATTATATAAATCTTCCATTTGCATATCTTTGAATGGTTCAGGAAGGTCAAGCATGACATTGATTAGTAGAGCATTTAAATCTGGCATGGTTTTATTGTCATAAAATTATATAAATCTTCCATTTGCATGGTTCAGGAAGCTGTAATTCAAGTTCGAAAGCTAATTTTAAGTACAACATATATTTGAATCAAAACCACTTTCAAGATTGACAAATTTAGTCACGTCTTAAACCTCGGCCAGAATGGTTGAACTATACATGGATACATACATTATAATTGGCTTGGAGGACAGTGTGTATAGATTATTGAATTACACCATAGCCTAGCCCCTGAATATGAGTTGCACATTTTCTCTGCTTTCATTATGTCTTCCCTTTTTAGATCGCACTTAGACTGTCACCTAAGTATATGTTACACATTTTGCTCCTCTTTCTTTATTTCTTTTTTCTTGTTTCTTTTTCAGGACATGCAGAAACTTTGATCTTTGACGTTTTAAAACTTGAGTGGTCTGTTGCTGTTGCATCACCTTCGTCTTCTATCAGTGCCAACAAGGTGCGATTTTCTAATTTACCATTCACTACAACGTGATTATACAATTGATCTTTACAATGTCTATTCTTTTCCTTTTGGATCTTGCTTTATAGTGTCAATCTTGGGCTTTTGGTACAAGCTACTTGTGGGTGAACTTCAATAGCTCGGTTGATTATGTTCTATAGTCATAGTTGTCAAGGCTCAGCCATGGTGCCTTTATCTATAATGGTCAAAGCCCCTTTAGTCAGGCATGCATAAAGACCTCATATCCATGCTTTTTAATAGTTTTGAACATCAAATCATTTTTTTTTATTTAAAAATGCTCATTGATTGCTATATTGTGTATCATGTTACGTTCTTATTTGATTAATCATTTTATTTAATCATATCAAATATTTAGTATTCAAGATTCATTGACTTTTGGTTGAATGCTTGACTCACATGTGTATAATGATTTATTCCGAGTGTTATGATGAAGTAATATATGCCTAAAAATCTAAGATCTGTGTGATTCTAGCCTTTTATTGCGGCTTCCTTTTGTGGTATTCAGTTTAGTTGAATAACTTGAATGCATATACATTGATTTAGTTAATCTCTAAATTGATATACCAAATGAAATCCTTTTTTGTTTTTTTGACTATTTTGTGTTGCATATTTAGAATTATCTACTGCATTTAATATACAGCTCTACCACACATGCACCTTAATTCGCTCCATCACACAATTTACGCATGCCTTTGCACTTAACCTCTAGGAGAACTTGTTACTCCATTATCCCTTGACCCCTTAATGTTTATGATTATACTATATAGGCACGTGTTTATGTATTTGTTTTTACTAGTAGAAGCAGCCTTTTTTCTCCTTCTGACAACATTAAATGCTGGTCTTGCTCAGGACTGGATTCTTTTACCTTTTATGCTGTAGCTTCAAAAATGAACCCTAAAGTTGTATGGTTATTATAGTATTTCTTTCATCAGATCTCTGACATCTTTTGAAGGATAAGGATGAAATTTTGGTACACAAAATCCATGCAACTTGTGAATTCCTCCAACTTTAGGGCGTTTCTATTCTCCTGTTCTTCGATTAAAATTATTTATTCTGATGGTTTATCTCGCCGGAATTTATGTATTTGTGTGGAGACTAAAAAAGTAATGCTTATTTTCCCAAGGGCAATGAAGCTTGAAATTGTATCTACTAGATTAGGGGTATGTTTTTCTTTTAAATTATGAGCATCAAACGAGCAACAGGTAAGACAGATGATGAACATTTTTAATTCATTGCATCTTATCTGCATTATGTTATTTGGGTTACCAATGAATTGGTTGCCATTCTTGAATTGTATGTTATTAGTATCCAGCATGCAAAACTAGGAATTCATTGTCTCACTAATGTTGCATTGATTACTGAATTTCCAGTTCTTTTACAAATGCGCTGTAATTATATAAATTTATTCCTTATTTGATTTAAAATCCTGTTTCAAATGCTGTTGTATGGTGGCAGAATTTTTTCTGGTGTGATTGACAAATATTTGTTTCCCTCTATTCTTGCCAAATTTGCTGAACGAGCAATTGTTTTGTAGGGATTCAGTCTTGTACTTGTGCAGCACAAGGAACGGGATTTCCTTGTTGCATTTGGGGGATCCAAAAAGGAGCTATCTAATCAGGTTAAAGAAGAATCAAAAGTCTTGTTTCCCTTGATGCATGAGTTGATCCTTGATAAGACTTTTGATTCATCAGTTTTGTCATGTGTTTTGTTACAGGTTGAAGTACTCATCTTGGAAAAGAAAGAATCCTCGATAGGTCGGAGATCAACACCAATTAAAGGTCCAGGAACTTTGCTCTCTGAGAATCGCTCATCATCCATAGGGTCTTCTGTGCAATTAAGTAATGGTGCTTTACACTGTGCAGTTGATGCTGGTGGGAGACAGAATCTAGCATCTGCAATTGAACAACATGGATCTGGGAGGAAATCCTTGTCAGAATCCTTAATCGTGGATCCAAATCCCGTTTCTGGTAATGCCTCACTCCGCAAGCAATTCCACAATGAGGAAGAGAGTGTGGTTGCAAAGATGGCAAAGAGTTCAGAAGATGAAAGTCAATCACAAGTAAGCTACATGACCCATCTATCATCAATGTTCATTGTCTGTCTGAAGGTAGATATGAGATATATCCCTTTCTACTCCCAATTTTACATAGTTTCTTCATATAGAACTTAGTTCATTTATGGGAAGTTTTTAATGTTCCTGGATGCAATGATTCCCTTGCTTGTATTTCCTAGACCAGGATTAGGTTGTAGTCCAAGTGTATTCAGAGATATAACAACCCATGTAGTCAGATTTACTTTATCCCTTTTTGCATTTGTTAACCTTATTTATTTATTTATTTATTTTATCAATTCAACTGGTTTGTATCACCTGATTTGCACTATTTCCCATGTAATGGTTATTTTTCACAACCCCTCCGCATGATTGGCACTAGATAGCAAATTATCTGTTGTCAAAAAGGTTGACCTGTTTCCACCATTAAAATAAGAAACAGAAAGTAGCATTGAACTGTCAAACCTATCTGATCCTTGTTTTATGTCTAATGATCATTGGAAGATTTTCCACTTACCATTTTTTCTTTTTTTTCAGATAATGGAACAGAGAACAAAACAACTTGATATTGGAATTCAAACCAACACTACTGGAGGTAAAATCATTGAGGAGGAGATGTCTGCTTTTTTTGAATCTGAAAAGTCGAACAACCACATCAAACAAGCAAATGGAAACCTTCCACCTGATAGTGATGATGTAGTAGCATTACCAGAAACTGATGGTAAATCAGGGGTACTGTCAGCTCCTTCAAGTATCTATCAGTTTTATGAAACAAAAATGGCTGCCCTGATAAGAAAGAATGGAAATTTGGAAGGACAGTTAGCAGTTGCATCGGCTAGCCGCGAATCTGCAGAGAAGAATTTATCTTCTGTTCTCAGAAGCAGACAGGAGATGGAGAAAAAACTGTCAGACACATTTAAGGAGATGGAATTGTTGAAAGAGAAGCTATCTGGATTAGAGCTGGCACAAGAAGAGTCCAACAACCTGTCAAATATTGTCCACTCTGACAATGTAAGACTCGAGCATGATGTGGCTTTCCTTAAGGCAGTTTTGGATGACACCCAAAAGGTATAAATTGCATTTGTATGTTACAATCTTGTATACATTCAACCTAGTGATTTGTAAGCTTGAGCGGGTTATCTAATAAAAAATATTTAGTATTTAACATATCCTACATATATTGTAGGAGCTGCATTCAACTAGAGGAGTCCTAGCAGGAGAAAGGGCAAGGGCATTCCAACTACAGGTACAGATTTGATAGTAGAATAAAATAAAATTTACGAGTGTCCGGCTACTTGTTGGGTTTATTAATATTTGAGTAGAGCTCTGTATCATTTCTCTGACATTAGTTCAAAACTTGACTGAAATTTCTAGTCTGGTTATTCAAATGAGAAAAGGTCGGATATATGCAAACCAACCAGATTTTAATGAATTTGTATTTATTTTGCAATAAATACAAATTCATTAAACTTCTTGTGAATTGCATTTATTTGTAAATAAATACAAATTCATTAAACTTCTTGTGAATTGCATTTATTTGTAGCACATGTAATGGCACAACATTGTACTGAATTATGGTATGAATTATATGCCATACAGCTCCTACCACTCAAGTATCTTATTTTGTCAATGATATCTTTTTTATAAATATTTCCAAGTAATGAATGTGTGTAAAGTTCCCCATTTCTTCTGTGGTTTATCTTATTAATAGTGAGTTGACTCATCTTGCAAATGCATGCATTAATTCGCAGGTTGAAGTTTTCCATCTCAAACAAAGACTGCAATCTTTGGAGAACCGAGCTCCAACCCCCAGGAAACCTTTTCATATCTAGTACAGGGAATCAATGTACACGTTGCTAGTAATTTACATGTATGTGCAATAAAATAGTAGTTTTGTCAGCTGCAACGTTTTAATCTTTTTTTGTTAAAAACTGCCATGGTTCTACATAATTTTGTAAGATATATTTTAGATTAACTAGTTGTTCCACGTATGATGTATGTAAATCTCTAGAGTGGAGCTGCAAATGTTTTAGGAAGCTGAGAATGCACGACGCTTGTTAGATATCATCTTATTATGCCATTGCATTCAATAAGCTTGAAGCTTAAGAAAAATTAGAGGTGACTAACGAGACCCCAAAACCTGTTGGATGGTGTGTGTCTGATTGGATGAAACCAAGTGAAAAATAAGGGGATAAAATTCGCAATATTGAAGAACATTATGCTCCTTTTGCAATTTAAATTTCTAATCACAATTTAGATACAATTCAGGAAACTCTCTGATACTGCATCACACAAAACTACAACACTGAGTAAGCCCTGCACTTGATCCTTTGAATTATGATAGTCACAAGATGATTAATTTTATCTTGTACCATTGAAGTTGCATACTCAATGCTAATGGTGCAGCCAAGAAACTTATTGCTCCAATCCTTCTCGATTCTCATCAAAAGAAAAGAAGCATATCTGTTACCTAAGGGCTACGATGCATGTACTGGCTTTATTCCGAGCAACGTAACTTGAGGCCTCATTCTATTTCAGGCTCTATAAAATGCAATCCACTTTAGAGGCGCCACTTCAGTGGCATGGCAATCTCCAGCCTGGTTGCAATCATGGCATGATTCACAACAAACAAGAATTGGAAAACCTTACGTTATCCAACCATCACAAGAGCTCAGTCTCTTCCTGGTCTCCATCAGCATCATCAACCTCATTCTCTTCGTCTTCTTCAGGGGCATCTGGATCCACTCCCTACAGAAACTCACCATTTAATCCCATGAAATATCCATAACAAGAATTTTGACTCTGCATCTATAGTTTTCACAAACCCTCTTTTTACCAATCACAATTGTTGTATTTTTCGTAAAATTGTACTGGCATATCAGAAGCAGCACTTAAATTTGGGGGGATATCTGCCCAAATACAAAGAAGAAGACGAACCTTCATTTGTTTCTCCAATCGCTCCAATCCTTTTTTTGCAGCTTCATTTTGTGGGTTTATCCTAAAGTGTGCATTTAAAAATAATGCCCGTTACAGTAATTGCCACAGCAAATATTTAATCAATGCATGTTTGGCTATAATCCACTATTGGACTGTTATGCCTAGACCAATATAATAGTAATAAAAAAGAATCCTAAACAAAATTAACCTTAGTGCAGCCTGATAATGTGACAAGGCGTCTTGCAGCATATTTGTAGCAGCAAATACTTGAGCCAGCTTAACATGAAGAGAGTCATCGGCCCAGTCTTTGAGATATCTCTCGAGAAGGGATACGGCATCTGCATTGCGGCCCTCGATGACATGGAGCTCAGCCAATGCTAATGCAGCTCCAAGATAACCAGGTTCCAGCCTGAGGGCTGACTCATAGAACTTTTTTGCCTGTCAGAAGTTTACGTGATAATTAACATATTAACCAAAGGTATTCAGATCTTTTTGTCAGGTTAAAATATATATAATAATAAAAAGGTTTCCAGATAGAAATCATCTAATATAACTAAAATTCTAAAGCTCCTCTAAATTGAAGGATGGCGAGGATTTAAGTTGATCTTAAGCTTTTGAAATAATCTAGTAACAGTTTGCTTTGGTACAATTTTCATGGTAGCTATAAAATACAACAGTAGCAACATCCACATCTCAGACCACGTTCCTTAGCAAAATAAATAAATAAATACAGATGCATTCTTATATCATGTTTTTAGTTCCATAATCCAATCCATTGTCTTTAAAAACAATTGTTTCTTCATTTTAGAATTTGTCATGAATTATGCTGAAAGTTTGACCAACAATAGGATAAAGTTAAAGATGAGACAGTTAACCAACAATACACAAATCTGAATAAATGCCGAATTACATGTGTACCTTCTCTCTTCCTCCGGAGTGACTAGCATGTACATCCCCAACCAGTTTTAGAGCCTTCGCTGACTGGGGCATGGCCTTCATTGCCTCCCTCGCGGCATGCAAAGCCTCTTTAATTTTCGAAAGTGCCAAATACGAACGTACCAAACCTGAGATTACATTTAATTCCCAGTCAGACAACGCTACTCCATTTCTATTATAATTTCTTTGTTTAAAATATACATGCATCAAACGAGCAGCAGCTAAAGGTAAATGTAAAACACATATGTTGCTAAATGGTGACCGACTGATCCCGTGGCTTGCCTTCCAAAACATACCTTGATAGGAACGAAGATCAGGTCTTAATTCTTGAGCTCCCCTGAAGGCAACTACAGCTGCTTCTGGCCGATTCAGTGACAAGAACAAATTGCCCTGAAAGGAAATCCTAGCTTACAAGAATTTCTAACAATCAAAAGAACTCAAGAATGCAATTGACATATAAATCATGTATGACGACCTCCAAGAAATTTCCATGCTGATACTTTGACAAAAAGAGGTCAGTTTATTACTTATGAAATTAACAAGTACCTTCATTATATAACCTGGTATGTGCCTCTCATCAATTCGAATGCTCTGTTTGCAAAGAAATGACGGTACTATGAGATACGTTTATAAAAAGGAAAAAACAATCCAAATTAATAAAACCTAACCTTCTCAGCATAAGACAATGCCCCTCCCTCATCTTTCCTCTCCCACAAAACAGATAAAGCCACAAAAACTTCAGGCCTCGTAGGATCAATACTCAGCAAATCATGCACTAACTTGTTTAATTTTGAATGATCAGACTTTATCTTTAGAAGCATTGCATACTCATCCATGTAAGTGACGATGTATGGATCAATGGATCGAACCTGTAATGTCCATAGCCAGTAAAGGGTATACATCTCATCAAGATGATGATTTATTGCATAAACATAATAATGAACAGTTTTACTTACCTTCTCAAAATTCAAAATGGCTTCATCATTTTTGCCAATAATGGCTTCAACCTTCACAAAATGATTTATTCATACACCAAACAGAACTATTAGTCAAGATGCTTTAGTTTAGCAAAAAGCAAACTACTAAATGTATAGGATGTGCAATCAACTAAACATAGATTTGAGACAATTTCTTCATCTCATTAGGAGTATTGAACATTTGCAATACAAATTTTATATCACTAACGCAACTGTATTGGGTTAATTCCTTTCCAAATATATAAAAGAAGACCATTGCCCAGTGTTGGTCCTGCTTATAATGAGATGGTTCGAGGGATGGACTGGGTACAAGCCTTAACCTTTATCATCATTTTTGCACAAAGTTGCTACTCCAAAACTCAAACCCGTGTTTTAACACTTGGCAGCCCGAGCTTCTACAATTGCACCAAGCAACGGGCCGGAAAATGTGTATAGAGTTGCTGCTGTGAGAAGCCTGTTTTCACTAATTTCTTGGTAGTACACTAATGCTTTAATATGCATGTATTTGAATATTGAAGACCCAACTAGGAAAAAATAAATAAATTTGAAGACCTTTGCCCAGATTAGTAGCATAACACACCACACAAACCTCCCAGAGCTATTTGACAATGTGGTTATCCTAAGGCAGCAAGAGGTAGAAAAATGAAACAAAAGTAACATTTTTTTTGAAAAACACCAGTCATCTATTGAGTTGAACCAAACTTGAAGAGTGACATAAAGCTTTCTAGTGGCACTTCAAAGTTGACACACCTCTTGGATACAATTGCAAAAAAAAAAAAAATGTCTACTTTCCATCAATCGGAACTTGTATATACAGACATATGAGGAACCCAAAATGATGATGACACGAGCTTATGACTTTTAAGTTAGGCAGGCAACAAAATCCCACTATTCCCGCAAGTGTAACTCATTCATTAAGAAGCAATACCAAAGACGGAATTACCTCTTCACCTAGGTAACTAGGCCTTCCACTACAACCTAATTTAACTTTTGCATAGCAAATTTGCTAACTATTAGAAACAAATTTTCATATGAGTGTTCCCTCTGATCACGAAAGAAAATTGGTCAAGTTTTTTCCATCAATGGAAAAGAAGACAAATGACGTTTTATCTGTGCATACCAAAAGAGAGTTATTTTGAGGAAAAGAATTCACCAGGTCCTATACAACTTGCTGTCAGTTATATCTCAGAATACTACACTTGTGATGCAAAAATATAATGTATGAGAAATCTAAGAAAAAGAAGTCACTGAAGAAACAGAAAAGTAGAACAAGTACATGTTAATACAATCACAAAGCCAAATTATATGCTAAGATCAAAAGCTCCCTAGAAAAGCACAGTTGATTGCTTCATTCAAGGGGTGGATTAAAATCGAACCAGTGGTGATGTCTCTTTGAAGAGATGCCACCTCTGTTCGGGGAAGGGGGAAAAAAATCTCTAGTAAAAACATTGATTTGATACAGAAATGAGAAATTTTAATGCAACAAGGCAATAGAAGATACTTGAAGGGGTGATGTGAAGAAAGATGTTTGAATAAAATTAAAGATGAAGCAAGAGAAGATGGCTACAAAGATGATACTGGTAATTTTAATCTTTTACATGCAACACAGTAAGACCTTATATTCTCTATTTTTCTTTTACTTTTTATTCCTTCTGTTTAACATTTTAGGAGATAATTTTGGATGTTTATAGATTGCAATACTAAAATCTAAACTAAAATCACATCCAATTAAGAGTATAAAGGTTCTTTAAAATGCATTTGGGACCCAACTGAGAGAATTAATACTGCAAAGATGACAACTTCCAAATGTCTAGGCATAAGCACAATGCTAACTGCAAGTTTGCTTATTTATGTAATACATTTACTTATGGTTTACAACCGCAAAAACTTGCATAAGAACAATGTAAGGGAGAAAGTGGTTGAAATAATGACTCTAATAAGCTTGTTAACCAAAACACACAACGATGTTGTAATTGGCAGATTGTCTAAAACAACTTCATAGTTGTTCAAACGAGTATTTGGCGAAGTTTGATGACAAAAGCAACAAGTCTGACACACTAATTATAGATCGAAAGAAGCGTCCACAAAGGGCAAAAGATAAACATTTTCGGCATATGAGTTTAAAATCATCAAAATGCGCCAAAAATACGAAAATACAAAAAAGAATTCATTAAAAATGCAACTACTCCTAACCTTTGCTATTTCTAGTAATATGTGTATGTTATTAGGAAACCGCTGAAGAAGGTCTGTGAAGAGTTCCAAACCACCTGCCAACCCCAAAAAAAAAAGAGTACTATAAAGAACTGGAAATCATCAATCTTCACAAATGATTAACTCAAGAACTTATGCCATGAAACGTAAATCCATGATTAAATCACAAATATGTGAAATAATTTAAACTATCATTGGTGATCGTTGCTACCAAACATTATTTTTGTTTTCGAAGGACACATCCTATATGTATTTTGTACTGCAAGTACATATTGAGTTCAAAAGCAAAAGGGCCAATTTGTTTTTCTCTATTCCCTCTTCCCTTCTATTTTGCTTCTCATGAAAATAGCAGAGATGCTAAATGAGTATTATTCAATATGTAAAAAACAATTTTGTATGATTATGGAACTTCATTTTGGTTTTTAAGTAACTATCAGCGGGCAGGACTATCTATCTTCTCTTTTAAGCTGTACGACCATAAATGAAAATAAAAACTGACTAAAAAAAGAAATAAATAGGTATCAAGTGAAAACAAGTCTCCTAACTTTAATTTTCAACCTTCAACCTTTGAAAGCTTAGATTCAATATTTAAGCTCTACGTTCAAATTCTTGTTGATCTTATGTATAAAATCCTTTGTTTCCTAAATAAAATCAGGTGCTCAGTGAGGGCTTTAGTGGAATAAGAATGGTAAAATCAGGCTCAAAGAAAGAACTTTTCTAACTCGGGTGCTCAGAAAGGGATTTAGTGGATCGTGACGGACTGTAACGGCTGTTACACAACAGTCAACGGCTGTCACAGCAACCACGCATGTGATAGTGGGTCTCACTACTATCGCGACGTACTACAGCCTACAATTAGTTATGTATTGGTTTGGATTTTCAAAAGCACAATTTGAGATTCAAATCCAAGAATCATTGATGAATTCGCAGTCAATAATTAATGGTTCGAATTTGTCATGAATTTTGGTTTTTGTGACTGAAAATTCACTTTTGATTTTTCAATAAATTTCGAATGCAGTGCCATGTCAGGATTGCATTTTAAAACCCTGGTAAGAATACATGTCACCTTAATCTCATTTGGTATCTTTTACAGTGCCATCTTGTAACAGGGAGAAAAATTTTGAGCTTCTCTATTTGGAAGCATCATATGGATCAGAGTTCAGCTTGTCTCTGTCATATCAGAATCCTAAATCTGTTTCAATGCACAGAAATGTCATGTTCCTATCACTAGGATGATCCTCTAAAGATGCTTTGTTGTACATTTATGTGAGATAAAAAACGAGAGAAATTCTCATTAACAGGGTACCCTTGTCCTCCCAAAAGAGTGCCTTGTTGGAGTCATAATGTATTGGGCGCAAACATTAGTTAAATGGATATTAAGCATACTACACCATAAAGAAAAAGAAAAAATTCTCTCTCAAACTTTTTATAGAAGTTGTCTGACCTTTGTAATCATTTGAAGCAATGCAACACTGGGCCTCAACATAGCGCTGCAGTGAAAGAATAAATGGTTAACAGTATTGCTGCACTAGAAAACAGCATATAAAAACGATGTCAATTGTCAAAATAACTTTCTAGCTTGAATTAAGGCTATCTAAGAGGAAGAGATGATGCTAAGCAGCACAAACCCTAGCCTCACCAAATACATCTAGAACACCAAATCCACCAAAGGGATGGATCAAGTGGCATGCTTAACTACAGTAGAATAAAAAAGAACAAAGAGAAAAGGAAACCATGGGTTAAAGGAAAGGAGAAATCCTGATTCTGGGAAGAAGTTGTGTGACACAAGAATGCCACACTTAGAGGGTAAAGTACGAGTTTGAAGGCACAAGCTAATTAGAAAATAGAAAAAGTTACCGCGGAACATGACAAAATATGCTAAGGTACTACAAGGAAATTTTTTATTAGACACCCCATACACTAAGATATAGACGTAATAAAGACAAAATCATTTTCATCTTGTACTTACTTGCAACCAACGACTTGAGTCAAAATGATCAAAGGGTGGTCTTCCGCTTCTATTTGGTGTCTGTAATTATCAGTCAAGAACATCAAAGGATACAAAAACATCACAACTCAATATTATCAAAAAATTATGCATAAGCTCCACTAAAAATGTTCATTTTAAATGACAAATATATTATTTATCTGATACTCGTAATATAAACAAAAGAACTGAATTAATTTGGTTTCAGACACATTAATGCTGAAGATACAAAGAGAGAATATACTGGAGACCTAAAGCAAATCATGCTTTCCGACAGCAAAAGGAAGTTAGGTCATCATTTTAAGAGTATCAAGAGCCTCTTCATGGCAATTAATTCCCAAATTCACTACAACTATGTCAGTTCACAAAGAACATAGTAATGCAGTGAATGTCTAATTTTAGACAATATTTATGAGATATGAGGTGCATTATCTAGTTTACGCCATTCAGCAGCTGCAGTTCAAATTCGTGTCAGGAACTCTAAGGACTGAAAATAAAGCAGTTTCAAGTGGGTTTGTGCCAATCAGGATGAATTTGTATCAACTGACAATCGCTCAACTCAAGCTCATCCTACTTATAATCAAGGAAAGAAAGTCACAGACTGAACCAACCCATTTAAAAAGGGGTTAGAAAATAATAAAATGAATGTTGAAAGAAAAAAAAAACAATTTCATAATTCATATTAATCAAATTGAATTTCATTTGAAATGTAGATCTGCTTAAACCAGGACCATATTATCAGTCTGCATACGGATTGGGGACTAAACCTTTATGCTTCAGGTTGGTTGGTTCATTCCAGATAGGAACTATCCACCGTAACTACCTATAGATAACAGAAGCGCATCATCCTAGGGATATCTTACATGTCATCTTCTTAACTACAATTTCTCTAAGAATGTTGAACAAATCTTGACAAAATGCAATATTTAACATTTTAATCAGAACATATGTACTTGTCAAAAATAATGGTGATAAACTGATAATAATATTAGAGTATCATAATTACATAGACTTTTGCACTCGAGCAGCTACTTGATATATGGTTTTAACAACCAACCTGAGGAAATAATGAAATAATATCCTTGGCAGCAACTCCCAGTTCGGCCAAGGCTACAATAGCCTCAATGATGTAAGGGCAATTCCTATCGAAAGGAAACCAATTTAAGAACAAACATACCATAGGAGAAAAAAACCTTTTAAGACAACAAGAAGAATAATAATAAATACAGTTGTCATAGCAGTAGTAGTAGCATTGTTTGTTATTGTTTCTGTATCAACAGTAGCAATTAAGGTTAAAATGATACAGATGATCAAGATGTAGCAGCATTCATGGGTCAGGAAGAAAAGGGAAAAAAAATGCAAATCTGTAAAAAAATTGCATTCTATTCCAATTTCCAAGAAAACTGCAAAACATCTCAAATTTGCAATGAAGGAAATTTTGCATCAAGAAATTGATATATAAAAAAATAATAAATAAATAAAAAGGAAATTTGCATCAAGAAATCCAATAGGACAGACCTCAAACACTCCTTGTAACAAGCAAAGGCAGCACGAGTATGTCTAGAATTTCGATAAAGTTTGCCCATCATTAGATTCATCTGCAAATTTCTTGCTTTGCTTGGAATTCCCTCCATCTGCAAAAATACAGCAGTGGAAGCTATTTTTAAAATGAAAGAAACTACAAATCAATTGAACCACATCCATGTTTAATTGTAAAAATACCATCTTAGTGTTCTGAGAACCTTCATCCTAGAACATTTTGGAGCTATACTAAATAAAAGTACCAGGGTACAGTGGAATCTTTCCTGTCTATTATAAATTTTCTATATTAACACAATTCCTCAGCTTCTTTCTTCATTAAAATTAAACTGAGTTAAATTAAAATGAAATATAGAGGGAGTGACAGAAAAACTGTGAAAGAAAAATGCATGATTTAACAACAAAGAATGTAAAGAATATTTAAAAATAAAAAAAGAAGAAGAAGAACGTATTCATGCATTGAAATACCACCTCGCTAAAAGTAGCTTACAGCTAACAAATTGATTAACAGACAAGATCAAAATTTAAAATATTAAAATGAAACCTCAACAAGGGCAGCTCGATTCTCATTCAATGCACAATGACAAGATGCAACTTTGAACTTCACCTGTTACCAAGATGTCAAAGAAAGTTACTCCATCAATTATTTAACCTTTAACATACAAAATTTTTAAAAAAAAATTGTTAATATCAGAACAACCTGAAAAGAAAAAATAAGTGTAGGGGAACAGTTCAAACTACCTCGTTTTCGTTGATCCCTGACATATTAAAAGAATTTGGTGAAGAAGACCTGTTTGATGTGGACAATGAATTTCTAGTCATTGTATTTTGTTTAGGAACAATCTTGTAATGTTGCAACGCTTGCTTGTACGTATGCTGCCACAAAAAATAAAGTTAAGATGATGTGGTATCCTTGGCTTAATGTCTTTACTGTCGCTGCTAAGATGATTTTAAAAGATAGAAAAATGATAAGGAAAAGCGCAGAGCATGGATGACAGGTTAAAAGAATCATACTTCATTTAAAATGGGAAATACAATAAAATATTAGAACTTTGAAGCAGCAGTTACCATATATGGCCAATTCATTGACTTAACACATAAACCTGATTTTCTAACAATACAGAATGGCATAGAAATATGAACTTTTTTATAGTATCTCCGCAGTATACATACACTTCATGAGTGCACGTGAGGACTAGATAAAGCAACTTATGTCCAAGGGACGCATTAATATCAATGTCAACTGACACCATCAATTTCAAAAAAAAAAAAAAAAGACGAAGAAGAAGAAGTTAAGGTCAAACAAATAAAATAACTACAGTGTAGTGTTTGCGGCCCCAAAAGACATTGGGTGAATCAGTTGTGTGCTTTAATGGCAATCAAATGAGTTAAAGAGTGGCAACAGCTAGGCATTTCATAATCGGCACCATTTTTTAATACTTGGTCAATATGACAACATCTCTGCAATACACAGTAAACTTCTCAAACATTAAAATGCTATGTAAAACCCAAATATGCCTTCAAATTCATTGAATGTCTAAAATTATGTCAATTGAAAATGCAAAACCAAAATGAAATTAAAAGGAAATGATGCAAAGGGAAAATATCCATTTTTTGTGATAATGCATTCACTAATAACATCCAAAAGAAATGAATATATATATGATCTTACAATCGCTCTGCGATACTCCCTCTCACGAAACAATGCATCACCAAGAAGCACCTGTTATAAAAACAGCAATTGATAATCCAATAAATTAACAAAACAATATAATACGCAAAATTACGATGCATACAAACATACATATGTGTGTAATTTCAAATTCATACCAAGTTTTCAGCCTTGACATGTGGACTGGTCTCAGCATTTATGGAAGACGATGAAATAAGAAAACAACCCTGTGCAATACATCGTTTCAGATTATAAAATTAGTACGATCCACTTTTCAGAAAAAAATAGAAAATAAAATAAAAACCTAATACTCAAAGCATTTTATTAGAATAATTGAGCTTGATGTTGGAGTGAATTGAAAAGAAAGAATCGGAACTAAAGCGAGACTTTACGAGCATCTGAGCAGAGTTGTAGAGGCCGTGGTCGAGAAGTGCAGAGATTTGATCTTTAGGAACGTCCATTCTTGTTGTGTATTGTGTGATTGCTTCACCTACAAAGTAACAGTGAAACCCCAACCCGCTCTCTTTTTCAAAACCTGTGTCTCTGATTTCTATCTTTTGTAGAAGGCGGTTATCTAAAAAGTTTATAATTTTCTGTACGAAAAGTATGAGTTGCAAAAATAAAAAGAGAAATTTATCAATTGCTTAAATTTCTAATGAAAAAAAATAACATATATATATATACACACACACATGTATACGTGTATATTGTAGGCTTATCGCAGTACAAAAATGACATTTTAAGTATATAATAATTCATATCAGGGATTATTACATATAAATGGTGCTAATGCCCCGTATTTATTATTTGATGGAATCAAAAACTCATAGTTATCAAAAAATGAAATTAACCAAAATGCTCACGTAGATATGGAAAATATTATTCACTTTTACACAATTAGCACTTTTAGGTACAAAGGTACCATTTTTTTGTACATTAGGTATCACTTTTGTTTTGGGCATACAATTACCACTTTTATTCAAATAGGTATCATTTTTTGTGTATATAAATATCATTTTTTGTGCATCAAGTACCATTAGGGATGGCAAATTCCCCATCCCTACCGGGGCTCGCTCAGCCCCGTTTTATGAAGGGGATGGGAATCTTTTTAGCGAAATGTGGATGGGGTAAATTATGAATCCTTGCTGGGGCAGGGACGAACCCACCCCACCCTTGCATCCAATTAAGTATGAAGTTGCTAATATACCCTTACATATAATAATTTATTAATAAATTAGATTTAGTATATATATGAAAATAAGAAAAAATGTGTTTTTTTTTTAATACAAAAAATTATGGTGGTGTGGCGGAATTTTAAGCGGGGATGGGGGCGAGGATGGGGATTGAAGAATTTTAAGCGGGGATGGGGGCGAGGATGGGAATGGGGAATGGAATCCCCGCCCCGCTCCGTTGCCATCTCTAGGTACCACTGGCTAAATATGATACTTCTGTGAGGGTATATAATATTTTGTCAGATGTTTATTTTTTCAAAATTATGAGACTTTTACTTTATCAAATGATAAACATTGATTATTAGCACCATTTATATGTAATAATCCCTTCATATTAAGTATTAATTCAATGTGTGCGCAATGAGAAGATTATTTTATTAGCCTGTTTGATATGCACTTTGTTTTTGGTGTTTTGTTTTTTGCTAAAACAGAAATAATATTTTTGATGTAAGAGTGTTTTAGAAAAAAATTGAAAACACTTTTGGGGATAATGTTTTGCTGTGAAAATGTCAGAAACAGAAACATGTAAAATATGGTTTTTGGCCATGAATAATTATCAAAAAAAAAAAAAAAACTTCATGGTGATTTGATTTTGGATAATTATTCATGAAGTATTTTACTACTATGTAAAATAAAAATAAGACTGCATCAAATATATTTTTATTACTAAAATTGACACGACACTGTAGCAATTTAAAAACAAAAACACCAAAAATAAGACGCATGTCAAATGGGGCTTACCACTTCGCCCCCATTTACTATTTCCCTTTCCATGATAAACATGATTTTTTTTTCCCACTCCACAATAGTATGATACATCTATATATACGTTTTTTAAAGCCCACTTAGATATCGGGTGGGTGGGTAGGTTTTGGTCTCGGATATGGTTAATTTTGCAGGGCCGGCCTTTTTTGTGTTCGATGTTCCGTAGGAATAACAACAGCCTCGGCGATCCTAAACAGTTCCTTCTACTCTTTCTCTAGAAAGCTGGATGGAGTCATCGTCTTCACGAAGATCACTACAAAACACACACACATATAAACAATCACAAAAATTTGTATCGAAGCGAATCGCGCAAGCAATTCGGGGGAAATCCTGCCCGATATGCTTGAGACACATCGACGATCGCAAAGCCTCAGTGATCACAGTGTGTATGCACGCATTTTGTATTGATTGCATTCGCAAGTGGAGCGATTTGAAGAGAAAGTGCCCCTTATGCAACGCAGAGTTCGATTCATGGTTCTTCAAAATCAACCTTTCATCTCGAACATTCCAGAAAGAGCAATTACCTGCTCTCAACGAGGGTAAAAATGTCAATTTGCGATATGAACGGAACAGACGGAGAGAACCCCTTGCAGAGCAACGGTGAGATTTTCGGGTTTATCTATCTAATAATTTTTGTTTGATTTGTTTGGTTAGTGAGAAAATGAAGGAAAGGAAAATAAAATAAATGGTGAGTCTTCGGATGTATTGGAGAAAAGCGAAAAAAGCTACCGATGTTGCGTTTCAGAGGACTGAATCGGTCCTCCAATTCCAATTTTAAGGCGCTGATTCAGTTCTCCCAACCATAGCTTTAGTAGAATTTAATTTCTTTACAGGATTGGTGCTACTGTGAGGAGTTGTGAATCCAATTTTGAATTTTCAGTACGTTTTTTAGGTTAATTCGAAGATCAAGGGAAGAATTTAGTACTGGTAGCTGGCGGACAAGGCCTTGTCCGAGGCGGCGATCATTTGGACGGTCAGGATCTGTGCCTCCTGATGTTGGTGCAGAAAGAGTTCTTCAGTGGCGCGCCAGGTATGTATTCTTATTCATCTCACTGTAATACATAAATTTTTGTATCTATTTTTTTGATAATGCGCTTGAATCATGCAATAATATGTGAAATCGTACAATTTTTTTTTTTTTTGGAGCTTCTAAAGTATGTAATTAAACAAAAATCTAAGGACCATACTGGTTCACAAATACATGTTTGTAACTAAATAATCTATGTCAAGCTCAATGACTGTATTGGTAGCTTTCGTTTGCAGTGGCTTATATCATTATATGTTATCACTAATTGTATGTATTATTCGGCTCCTGCAGCATATATGAGCGGCATTTGCAGGCTGTTCCTTTTTCTTCCAGCTATCGGCTTGGTCAGGTACGCCAATTCGCCAATGTCAGTGCATTTCACTGGTGATACATTTGATTACTCAGGAATTGGCAATGAAAGAAAATAAATTATGTGAGCTTGGTTTTTTGCATTCTTATAAGAGAGTAAAGAGAGAAATTTGTTGACACCAACCAGAGGTAAATCCTCTACCCCACAACTGAGTAATACAAATATTTGGTTTAGTAAGTTGAGGTGATAATCCTAGGACTCTGAAACATAGCAAGTTTGATTTTTAACAGACAATGATATTTCTTTCTGAGTTTTTTGGTCAGAGAGATGAGTCCACAAGAAATCTTTCTTTCATTTTTATTTTTACCAACAATACTGTTCTTGCAGTATAACCAGATTATCATTGCCTCAATTTTATTATGTGCTCCAGAGCATTGGAGCTGTTCCCTTAGAATATCTTTTTTAACAATCGGTTTCCTTGTGTGACTAAATCTTACACTTGTGTTTATGAAAATACACTGTTATATTTAGATATTTAAAAACCAACTTGAGGTTGTAGGAACAAAGCTTTTAAATTAAAGTGTATCTTATATTCCAAAGAAAAAATTGAGTTTCAGAGCTGACTTTTTCCCCCTTTTTTAATTCTCAGAATATAGCTGGAAATAATGGCGTCAAAGAAAGAATATTTGAAAGAATAGAACCATGGATACGAAGGGAGCTGCAGGCCCTCCTTAGGGACACAGATTCATCTGTTATTGTTCATGTGGCAGCCTCTCTTTTTATCTCAAGCCTGGAAAAACGTCAATGCCTTCCAGAGGAATCTGGAGTTGATGATAACTTTCTTTCACCTTTGCAACCTTTTTTGCATGAACGGACCAATATGTTTTGGCATGAACTTAGGTAAGTTGTTTGCAAACAGCTAAAGTTCTAAAAGTTTTCATTTTTGATAATAACATTGATAAAAATTTCACCATTGTTATCTATTATCTAAGCAATTACTTAAATTTCATGATCACCTCATGCTCTCGTTAATATAGAGATCGGATTAATGTGCATTTTATTTATTGGCAACCAATTGTTTCTTGCCCAAATAAGAAATTTGCCAACATATATACTTCGTGATTATGTTAGAGGGCGAGCCTTGGCGCAACGGTAAGGTTGCTCTGTTGTGACCTGGAGGTCATGGGTTTGAAACAAGGAAACAGCCTCTCCGCATGTGGAGAGGTAAGACTGTGTACATCTACCTTTCCCTGACCTCACAATGGTGGGAACCTTGTGCACTGGGTTTGCCCTTTTATATTTCATGATTGTGTCAGTACTTCATTGCCCATTACTGTCAATAAGGATTTCTTGTCTCCACCTCCCTCTTCCCCCTCCCCTTTCCCTTTTTTAATGGGGGGAAGCAGCCTGGCGCTTAACACTCTTAGCATCACTTGCACTCACATGGTAGGACAAAAGGGATGATGATGATGTAGCACTAGTCACACTGATGTTTTTTTTTTAGTGAATGTTTTTATTTTTTCTTTCATAATTATCAGTGAAAATTCAATGTTCCTTTATTATTATTATTATTATTATTATTGTTTATCCCCATACTATGGGTTAATGCTGTGATAGCTATGTATTGGTATATAATTTAGTCCCGAGAGTTGAGACAGAACTAGGTCTTGTTATTTTGCTTGTAGCAGTGACTGTAATCTAATGAACAAAAACAATGCATTTTTTCAGATGTTTTGCAGAAAGCCCATTTACCATGGAAACATATGACACGGTGGTTGAATATAGAGTTTGAGATTTAGCTCAGAAGCAACTGACATCTGTTGATTCATTGCAATGGGAGATGCTACATTAGCATAGTAGGCTAGTTAAGGGCTAATTTGCCTTAGAATTTGCAAATGAGGGGAGTTTGTCTGTATTCTTAAAGCTTGATTTGACTATGTTATCTAGCTTGGCTTAACCATGGGCAAGGAGCCAAATTTCATGATGCCTTATTATCTATCAGAGATCAAATTTCTATGCCAGCAACTGAGACAGCGCCCAAGATCATGGTTCAAACTGAAATTTGATGGATACTGGGAAAGAGAAAGAAAGGAGAAGATGGCAGTTTTCTTACTCAAGATAACAGGAGATGATCCTCGTTTATCAGGGTCTATTTCAGCATTGTGCAGTGTCAGAATGGGAGGAATTGGCAGCTGACTGGGGACTACATTGGTCCATCCAAAAGAGTTACATGATCAGAAATCGGAGATCCTATATTTAGTGTTTGGAAGCAAATCTCAAAAGAGTGACTTCTAAAGTCTTGTGGTCTCTAAATTGATTTCAGATGCTTTACCTCAGATCCTTTTGAAGACGAAACTGATAAAATTGTGGAATAAATTCTAGTGAGTATACTTTGTATGGATGTCCTAGTGGAAGCAAGTCATGGAAGAATGATTTAAAATGGCGATTTGATTGTTCCATTAAGATTTTCATCAAATGATATAGGGCCTATGTGGAGCGGCTTTTCAAACATTGCTTTTGGCTTTTAGAAATCAAAAGTCATTTGTGCAGGTGTTTGGATTGCTCAGTTGAAGAGCTTTTGTCCTTTTAAAGCTCTTCTAGCCCAAAGCTGGTACGGACCAGCTTTCAGAAAACGCTCTTCCCGTCAAAACACAGGAAGCTGTTTTTGTATTTAGTGAAAGTCTTATAATCCCAACCATGACCTTATTCATAGATTAAACAAACGTTTTTTCCAAGCATGTCCCAACCAAAACCCCTAGGCCCCCTACCATTTCACGATCTTCAGTTGCTAACGTTTTTTTTCCGGCGATTTATCTCAATTTTCAGCTCCCAAAGATTTCTCTGACGAAGGCAATGATGCTCAAATCCTACAACATAGAGCCACCGGACACCTCCAGGAATAAACGATTCAAGGTACTCTAGTTGTTTGCTTGGGTATTGTCCTTTCTTTGGTTTTGGGTAAGAAACAAATGAAACATGTTAATCCAATTTTCTCATGCTATCCATTTTTCTTTGGTTGCGACTTGTGAGGTATACGATTTCTCTCAATTCTAAATTGTTTTTGATTTTGAATACCGATTTTAATCGATAATACGATTTCATAATACAGGTAAGTGACGATTTTCCTATTTCTCTTACTTATACGATAGGGTTTTTATCTGATTCAATCATGTTTAAATAGATTTAGCTAGAACAATAAGAATGTTTACCATGTGTAGAGAGTGGGAAATGTTGCTTATTAGGTGGTTTTAGTTATGCATATCGTTTGTTTGATATATTTTCTCTTTGCACATCTAATTTATGTACATCGATTTTGAATAATCTATAGTTCTTGATTTCATGTACTGTGTAATTCAAGCTTATCACATTTGTAATGGCGTAGTCATAATTTCTACTCTACAAAATGCATAGTTATAGAGTTATTACTTGTCATATATAATACTGATACATTCTATTTACTGAAATACAACAAATATTGTTGTTTCTACAACATATTCAATATTGCACGGAAAAAAAGAAGAAAGCTAAGGCATGATATTTAAACGATCTCAGTGCTAGAAATCAGGATTTGACTTTGTCAAACAATATTCTTATCCCAAATACTTGACACTACTTAATATATTCTTTTCTGTTTTTTTTTTTATTATTATTTTTTTTTGGTAAGAAAAAATCGTAATATTACATTATACTACATGATTTAGTGTTTAATGAGTCCAACCAAAAATACATAAACAATGCTCACAAAATATACAACCACAAAAAGTAGGAGATTGAACAATGGAAGCTGATATTTGAAGTGCATACCCCTTTCCAATGTCAGGGCCAATTTTTCTAGGATTTGTTGCTTGCAACTCGACTTTAATGCTGTCTCCATCCCTCTTGAATTTATCCTTAAATACATAAAACTTTTCTAGCATCTCATACCAATTAACCAGAGAAAATTAGATGTCTCATTTGTGTTTACGCAGTATGACAGGTGTTGATTCTATGGAGCAATTTTTTGTCTATTATTTTTTTAATGTGAGTTTGCTAAAAAGTCGTGGTTGGACTTTGCTGATCTTTTTAAATGGCAGCTTGAAATTACAAATTCCTTTGAGGAATTGGTGGACTGGTTTAGTTCGAAGTTCCATCAGAAAACTAAGAAGAACATAATTTGCCAGCAAGTCTTTGGATGAGCATATATGTCCCTTCAAGATCTGCAAGAAAAGTCGGACATGGGAGAAGTACTACAGGAGCTGAAATCCACTTGTGAAAGAAGAAGAAAAATCTGACAACTATAAAGATTTGTCTTGGCTGGACCTGATGAATTTGAGTGATGATGAAATCCCATTTGTGTATTTTGATTAAACTGTAAATCAGGGAGTCCTTGATCTCCATTCGCATGTGTATGACCTTGGCTGAGAAACATCTGACATGATGAGATTGTATTCAATTTTGCTGATATATAAATTGTATACTTTTTGGAGAAACCATATTATTGCATTCAATTTTGTTGATATATAAATTGTAAACATTTTGGAGAAAGCAGATTATTGAAACCAAAGGAGCAACTAGTCCCATTGATTGATCCATGGTGGTAGAAACTCTTTTAGGAAAGGACAATGGTGGTTTGCAAGTATTGTGAAGCAGAATCTTGGCAGGCCATTTTTGTAGTGCTTTGAAAAGCATCAGAAAAAATAGAAAATTGGGCTTCAAATAATAAGAGAAATATTCAAACACACTTCATGGCAATGGTTTTTAAAAATGCACATAATCTCACTTTAAAATCTTCAAAGTCATGAATCCTAGCAGTCATGTTTATCAGATTAGTTCATAAATCTTAGGTTATTAGAAGTGGATCCTAAAAGTTGATTCTGCCTAAGTCCATCGTAATTTAAAAATATGTCCTAAATCAAAGAGTGACGGTGTGTCACTTAACTTAAGCCACAAAAGACAATATTTAAATCATTCTTAATATTTGTTTAAGTTGTGTTTGAATTACAAGAGCTATAATCAAAGATCTAACAAAATACGATATATGTATGTCTATGACGTATAAAAATTTAACTTTGACTCGGGTATTTCAAAATTTTGTTTTCTAGCCTTAAATATTCATATATTTTTAGCCTATGTTTTCTTTAAAAACTTTGAAAAAAGTCGATTATTCAAATTTCCAAAAAAATTGCTTAAACTTTAGAATTCTAAAATTGTAAAAAATATAAATTCACATAAATACTAAAGTTTATAAATTTTAGGTTTACGTCTCAAAATTCAATTTTTCATAAATAAGATATTGGAAGAAATACTATATTTGAGAGTACCTAGACCATTTGGCTAATTTGAGATTGGAGGAAATGTAATTAAAACTTTAATAAAAAAACCCAGAGTCTTTTCCTACTCATGTGATTTCCAAACAATTTTGATAAAGTACAGTTTGTTTATCAGTTAATTGTTCTGATAATATTTATTTATGTAGTATTAAGAAGATAATTAATCTAAGACTAATTAGAGCCCTAATTAAATTAGTCCCACCTTGCAGTGATCGAGGGTATCATATGGTATCTACTAATATCTATTACTATTATATTTTGGTAAATAAACGTCTCACTTGAACTCATCAGTCAACAGTAGTCAACGTTGGAACTAAAAGTCACATTTGTTTCTAATTTTTACTTCTAAAGCTGATAAACCAATCAAATGTTGGCCACGTAACAAACTTTCTTGACCGTTTGTCATTAGCTGGAATGTTTATCCAACAACACACGCTCCCTTAATCAATCTTTCTGGAGATACCACCGTCACGCACTCCCACGTAGTGTGTGTGTGTATATATATGTATCATTAGCTTGGATTTCACGAAATCAGTTAGCAGAGATCCGATAGAGAGAGAGAGTAGCAGAGATCGGGTAGAGAGAGAGATTATCAGAGATCGGGTAGAGAGAGAACACGTACATACGCATTCTTGGAAGGAGAAGATGATGATGAGCAATCTGTGTTCATCGTCGTTTGCTACTCTCTCTCTCTGGTATCATATATCAACTACTCCTGCACGCCCTACCTCTCTGGTCTCTTTCTTTGGAGTACATATATGGTTATTTAATTTATTAATTCTTTATATTGTTGGTCTCAAATGTTTTAAATTTTTCCTAAGGTGTGTTTGGAAGGGTTGAGAAATTAATCCGATACTATATGCATGAGAATCTAAAAAGTTGTACCTTTGGATCAACTTCTCCTTCCTGTTGCAGTGTTCACCACTAAAAGTAGGAAGCCTGCGTCACAACGGAGCACACACCATTCACCTATTTGCATCTCACAAGACCCAAAAGAAAATTAAGGGTCTATTGGTTTGTCACTTGAAAAACAAATCTTAAGAACTCAAAAAATAAAAATAAAAAAATTATTTTCATGAAAACATACGTTTTTAAAATGAATTTTAAGAAAACAAATCTTGGAAGCGGTCTATAAATTAAGCAAGTTTTTGTATACTTTTTAAATTTGTAGTCCTCAGGAAACTCAAGTTAGGAAGGAACTCTTGTATTATATCTTCTTTTATCTTTGCTTCTTTCTTTTATCTTTTTTTCTTTATTCTTTTTTCTAACATCCAATACCACCCGGGGCACCAATTTACAGTACCACACTTGTGCACATATGTTTTTATTTTTATTTTACAAAGATGTATACAATGGCCGGCCCCTTTATGCATTATCTTTCACTAGGTTAATTCTTGTGCCATGGTTTCATTTTCTTAATATATATATTCTTATATCATGCATATGTTTGTGAAACAGATCATAATATGAATGATGGTGATAAATATTACTTTGTAAAAAGAGAGAAGAAATCTGAAGCTGTAAAAACCCAAAACGGGTAGTTGAAGGACACTTTGGCGGAGGATGGTGGAGGGCCAATAACAATAAGTTCATTTGAGACAAGCAAGGCAATGATATTGGTTCCGTGATATCGTTAACATATTATAGTTCCAAGAACACCAATGAAAGAAGGAAAGGAAGCATCAAAACTGACTGGATCATGCACGAGTACCAGCTCAAAGAGGATAAGGTAAATTAATCAAACAAAACCAATTCTATATATGATACATGCATACTTCGGCCATGCCAATGTTTCTTCATCTCTCTCTATACATGTCCATGCATTAATTTTTCTTTATCTTGATTTATATTATATATTCATTATTAATTATTCTGTTTGGGTGTGAGTGCAGTTCCAAGAATGGGTTTTGTGTAGAATCCGGGATGGGAGTAAAAGAATAAACAAGAAATATGATTAAGGCACTAAGAATTTGCAGATTCAAATTAGTGATCGCGGCCCCTTGAATATTAATAACTTCAATCAAACAGACGAGTACCTTAGTACTTGTGATTACTCCGGAAGCGATCAGGTACTAGCAATTGGATATAGGGTTGAACCAACTGTTGGAAATAGTGGCCTAGTTACACACACAACACTATACTATTTGGAAGAGAATAGAAATGGAGGAAAATATTTCTTATTTCACTTGATGGAAAATGAGTACAATGCATGGGTTTATATAGGCTTCAAAACATAAATGTAAATGAAACTTAAAACCCCACTAACATATCATTTAGTAGGCAAAACTCCCACTAACCCACTAACATGACCATTTAGTAGGCAAAACTCCCACTAACCCACTAACATGACCATTTACTAGTTGTAACTCTCATGCCCCCCACTAACTCCAATAAAAAAACTCACATAAATGTAAAACACTAAATAAAATAAAGTTTAATTTCTAACACCCCCTCTTAAACTTGATTTTTTTCAACTCCAAGCAAACTCCTAAACTTGTGAAAATCTGCAAACTTGAGGGGCTTGGTGAAAATATCCGCAACTTGATCTTGTGACTTGATGAACTTGAGCTCCACCTCCTTCTTAGTTATACATTCTCTAATGAAATGAAATCTTGTATCAATATGCTTGCTTCGTTCATGAAACACCGGATTCTTGGCCAAAGCAATTGCTGATTTGTTGTCCACAAAAATCTCCGTTGACTCTTCTTGTAGCATGTGTAATTCCTTCAACAAATTCCTCAACCAAATTACTTGACAGACACATGAAGTGGCTGCAACATATTCTGCTTCACAAGTTGAGAGGGTGACAATGGGTTGCTTCTTTGAACACCATGTAAAAGCAGTATTTCCCATGAAAAAACAATAGCCTGAAGTACTTTTTCTATCATCCAAATCTCCGGCCCAATCACTATCACAATAACCCACAAGCTTGAAATCATTAGAAAATGAATAGAATAGCCCAAAATCAAGGGTACCTTTGATGTAACGAAGAATCCTCTTAGCCGCCTTGAAATGAGTTATGGTGGGTCTTTCCATAAACCGACTAACAAGCCCAACCGCAAATAATATGTCCGGCCTTGTGCATGTTAAGTATCTCAAGCTTCCAACAAGACTTTTGAAAAATGTTGGATCCACCGTTTCTCCATCTTCATCTCTTGACAATTTAATTCCAACTTCCATGGGCGTGTTCACCAATTTACAATCTTCCATCTTGAAATTCTTAAGAATTTTCTTAGCATAGCCTTCTTGGTGAATGAAAATTCCATCCTTCATTTGCTTGACCTCAATGCCAAGATAATAAGCCATGATGCCAATATCTGTCATCTCGAACTCTCGAGCCATAACCTTCTTGAAATCTTCAAACATTTTTGGATTGCTACCTGTGAAGATTAAATCATCCACATACAAGCAAACAAAAAATACATCTCCATTCTCACTTACTTTGGAGTAAAGAGCATGTTCATATGGGCACTTTGAAAAATTATTGTCTTGAAAATATTTGTCAATTCGCTTATTCCACGCTCTTGGTGCTTGCTTCAAGCCATATAAAGCCTTCTTCAATTTCAAGACTCTGTTTTCTTGCCCCTTTACAACATAGCCCATGGGTTGTTGAACATACACCTCTTCTTCAAGAAACCCATTCAAGAAAGCCGATTTCACATCCATTTGGTGGATTCTCCAATTGTTCTGGGCTGCCAAAGAAATTAACAATCTAATTGTTTCCAAACGAGCTACGGGTGCAAATACCTCATCATAGTCAATTCCAGGCTTTTGGTTGTACCCCTTGGCGACCAATCTTGCTTTATATTTTTCAACTTCACCATTTGCATTATGCTTTGCTTTATACACCCACTTGACACCAATTGCCTTTTGCTCTTTTGGAAGTGTAGCAAGCTCCCATGTGTCATTCTTCTCTATGGATTTAATTTCTTCATCCATAGCATTTCTCCATTTTTTGTCTTGTGCAGCCTCTTCAAATCCTACGGGTTCACAATCCGCTAAGAGACAAAAAAGTGTTAGATCACCTAACCTTTCCGTTACCTCATCTGTTTCGTCATATATGTCACGAAGACTCCTCATGCGAAGTGGTGGTGTGTCACTTGAACTTGATGATGATGGAGTTGATTGATCTTGAATTGATGGCGGTGGAGGTGATGTTGGTG